CATGTCTATACGTTACAACATAGCAACATTTCACTGTTGCTTTCTTTCCTGTTTCATTTCAAATCAACTCTAATGATGAAGTCAGCTGACCTGCTTCAAAAAAAAAAAAAAAAGAATAAGTCAGCTGACCTAGAATTGTCAAAATGGGCCAACGAGGTTTGGCTGCTATAGCCCATTCCTTGGCAGGCTTGGGACGCAAATTATGCTGTGCAACCGAATGCACCTTGCAAGGTGCAACCGAATGCACCTTGCAAGGTGCATACGATTGCAAAACGGCGCTGTTTTGGTTAAAAAAAACGCGCGTCTCACTTAAAGAAGAAATCAGGTTCGATTCTCGACAATAACATTTTTATATATCCAGAAATTCATAACTATATAACCACAATTTCATAACTATATATCCACAATTTCATAACTATATATCCACAGTGAATGAATGAAGTAAAAATCCACAATGAATGAATGAATGAAGTAAAAATCCACAATGAATGAACTAAATATCCACAATATATGATTGAACTAAATATCCACAATGAATGAACTATATAACCACAATTTCATAACTATATAACCACAATTTCATAACTATATATCCACAATTTCATAACTATATATCCACAGTGAATGAATGAAGTAAAAATCCACAATGAATGAATGAATGAAGTAAAAATCCACAATGAATACAATGAATGAATGAATGAAGTAAAAATCCACAATGAATGAACTAAATATCCACAATGAATGAACTATATAACCACAATTTCATAACTATATATCCACAAATTTATAACTATATATCCACAATTTCATAACTATATATCCACAATAATGTTATTGCTGAGAATCGAACCTGAATTTTTTTTTTTTTTTAAAGTGGGACGCGCGTTTTTGTCAAAACGACGTCGTTTTGAACCGTATGCACCATGCGCATGGTACATTCGGTTGCACAGCATAACTATTGGGCTTGGGATTAGCTGGCCCGGCCTGGCCTATTGCAATCGTTATGCTATGGACTCGTGTTCTGCATGTATTGTGGACACAATAACGGTGTTATTAGTAGTACCGTTATCTTTTATTATTATTATTATTTTTTTTAATTTCAGATCGCTTTGTTATAGGAGCATATGTTTATAATTTCATTACTATATGTTCATAATTGTAAGTTCATAATGTCAGAACTCTGTGTTAATAATTTCATAACTGTACATTCATAATGCCACAAACGAATAACGCCGTTAACGTTAAGACAAAATTATTTTAAAAAAATAAACTGAAATGCCGCGTTTTCCCTAAAAACGACGTCGTTTTGGCATTATGGACACGAGTCCACAGCATAATTTCCGAGCCTATTGTGCCAACTCTTTTTTTTTTTTCTTTTTAAATGTGTATGGTAAGTTTCGATCTCATAGTCTCTTAAAAAAGTATTATACAAGTACTTATAATACTTGAAACTCGCAAACTAGAAAAATTCTAAATCTATTGCAACTGCATACCCATTGCCTAAATCTCTCAGTGCCTCCCTAGAGACACCACTGTCGCCGGTGATGTGGAGCATCAGATCAGATGCCATGTCGAAGTTTGGACTTTTGAATTTTTAAAAGTTTTTATTATTTATGTATAAACAAAATAATATTTATTATTAATTAAAATATGAATTCAAATAAGTCAAACTCGAGATTAAAATCGAGCTTGAACTCGAGCTCAAATCAAGCCCGAGTTCGAGCGGCTCAAAAAATTGTCGAGCCGAGCTCGAACATCATATTTTGAGCTCGAATCGAACTATGCTTATCGAGCTCGGGCTCGAGCGAACCCATGCTCGAGCTCAACTCGGCTCGTTTACACTCCTAATCTATCCTAACATTCAATAACCATTATGCATAATAATATATTTTTATTAAACTATTTACCATATAGGTTGGCCTCAAAAATTCAAACCCCCTACCTATATAGGGTGTTGGGCGGGTCAACCCTGTTTTGACGGCTCTAACAAAGGAGACTGGGTTAGGTTGGCCCAAGCTCAAATACATGACTCTGGTTCAACACTGCATTAATTTATTAAGACTCACACAACTTAAAGATTGAGGAAAAATCACACAACTAAAGAATTGAGGGTAGTGTAACAAAGATATGATAATGAGTGTACAAGTGTAAATGTTGTCCTCAATGAATTGGGTTATGACATGTAATATGTAATAACAAGTAACTAGTCATTTGCCTTGAAAAATTAACAAGAACCTTAGCAATCATAAATTAAATAGGACACACACATATAATAAACAAGAGATAATTACGAAATAAAAGAAATATTACTCAAGTTAATAAGCAAAATCTACTAGATGCAAGCAAACTTATAGAATTAGACGAAAACTCATAACCAAAGAATTGAGGTGAAGTACGTCAGAATTATAATCTAAAAATCACTTCCATGATCACCTAAACAAGAATTAGGAATATAAATTGTCCCACTCTGATCTCACTGATCATATATATATATATATATATATATATATATATATATATATATATATATATATATATATATATATGTATATTGTGGAAAAGAGCTCAAAGGAGCTGGAGTGTGTTCTTGTTCCGGTGGACTACCGCCGACTGCCGAGATGACAGCTGCAAAGCTCCGATCTTCAATTCACGTTTTGATACCATTTGAGAGTGACAGTAATAGCGAAATTAAGTAAGATTATGACAAAGCTAAGCATTCATGATAATGAGGGAGATGAGTCCAATCCAGTGCGTTCAGATGGACAAAACAAAATGAATGAATTGCAGGAAAGTGAAAAGTAAACAACACGTACACTGGACGAGTACCTATACGTACTACAAAATAAAATATATTAATTAAGTACTGACTACTGAGAAAGACAGCATAGAAATGAAGTTCACGTGTGAGATGTTTTGCTGTTCTGCCCACGACAAAACGGGAGAAACCATGGAACCTGTGTTCTGCTCCGGGGACATGGCATGCATGGGAACAGTACTACACACTTGATCTGCAACAAGTGTTTGTGTGTATGCTGAAGTTAGTGTCTGCGAATTTTTTGTGTTGTTGTTGTTGTTGTTATGAGGTACTAAGCAAGCTGTGTAAAGAGATGCATTCTAATATTTAGGTTTGACTTGTTTCTTTGATAGACAATTGCTGCTAGTATAAGGAAAGATGGAAAATGCAGAGGACGAAGGCCATGTTGGAGGTGGAAACCAAGAGAAACATGAAGATGAGGTATAATGCCATGCCACTTTTTCATTTAGTTGTTCTACCAACTGTTTAATGATAATATTAAGTTATAAAGACTGTTTGCGAATTTGTGATGATTCAGGAAACTGTTGCCCGCGTTGAGGAATTCAAGAAATCTATTGAGGCAAAAATGACTCTCCGTCAGAGCAATTTTAACCCATAAAGGCCAGGTTGCTTTAAGTATTGCATACTGTTGCATGCAGTTATTCTCTCACTCTTCATTTTAAGAAATCGGAACATACTAAAGTAACTGGATTCAAATTGAGCACTTATGTAAAACAGTAAAAGCACACAATAAGTGACTCTATTGCAATTTGAGATCTTACGTAAAAGCACATAATATTTATTCCTTGCTCGTCTTGCTGTAAAACGTTATTGAATACATCATTTATAAATGCTAGTTTAAATATGACTTCATAATTTAAGATTAACAATATAGGCGCTGCCAAGAAGTATTTCTTGCTCATCGTTTAGGCACTGGCTTTCTTTTCTTTGCCAAATCGTGTAATATATGCCAATATGGACATAGGTCAAAACTAACAGGGGATTTGATGAACTCCAAATTACCATCTTTTGAAATATTGTAATCTGCTGGACAATTTGTTGTTTTCTTTTAGCAGTTGAATAAGAAAAATACTTAAATTTTCATGTTGATGTTGTTCATCATTTTCTGACTTTATTTTTATTGTTAAACCAAAAGTAGGAATCTCCATATGTTGAGTCACTGGTTCCAATAATAACAAAAGGAAGTGATCCCATTCCTGCTTAGGGAGAAATGTATCTTAGCTAATTGAGAAGTAGGTGATTATTTTATAACATGGTTGTGTTTTTTGCATGACTTTTAATCTAGTGATTCTTCATTTCAGAATCAGGATTCCTCAGGACAGTGGATTCCAGCATTAAGCGTAACACTGCAGCCATTAAAAACTTGAGCAAATTAATGAAGAGCAGCGAGAAGGGTTGATGGATGAGCTGCGAAGTGTCAACTTAAGTAAATTTGTCAGTGAAGCAGTGATTGCTATTTGTGATGCTAAGCTTTGAACAGTAGACATTCAAGCTACTGTTCAGGTAGATTTTGGCTTGAGGTCAAAACTAACAGGGAATTTGATGAACTCCAAATTATAATCTTTTGTAATATTTTAATCTGCTGGACAATTTGTTGGTTTCTTTTAACAGTTGAATAAGAAAAACAGTTAAATTCTCATGTTGATGTTGTTCATCATTTTCTGACTTTATTTTTGTTGTTAAACCAATTAGGAATCTCCATATGTTGATTCACTGGTTCCAATAATAACAAATGGAAGTTAGGCAGAAATGTATCTTAGCTAATTGAGAAATAGGTGATTATTTTATAACATAGTGTGTTTTTTGCATGACTTCTAATCTAGTGATTCTTCATTTCAGACTCAGGGTTCCTCAGGACACTGGATTCCAGCATTAAGTGTAACACTGCAGTCATTAAAAAACTTTAAGTAAATTTGTCAGTGAAGCAGTGACTGCTATTTGTGATGCTAAGCTTCGAACAGTAGACATTCAAGCTACTGTTCAGGTAGATTTTGGCTTGAGCTCTAATTTACTTACAAAATTACCTTCAAATCGTCTCTTGTTTAACTGTTTTCTTGTACCGTTATTTGTGATATCAGATTCTACCATTCTTATAAGTAGTTTATAAGTAGTACGTGTATTTGAAGTATGAAGAAAGTACAAGTGAAGGTAGCAACTAATTAAGCTAGATAAGATAAATACATGATTATATTTGAGATGAGAGGGTGGTTGGGTTGGTTTGGTACTGCAAAATGAAGGGGTGGCCCAACAGATTCCCCGCGGTGAACCTATTCTGAGGATGTATCTCCAAGCAACAAGCAATGAAATCTCTCAACTCTGGTGAAGTCGTGTCGGGCATCAACATCACTGGTGGCATGGACTCCCACCCGGAAATGGCGGTCTTGACAGCTGCCAAATTTGCTTTAAATTTTAAGCAATCACCTAATGGATACTTCCCCACGTATAACTCCCAGATGCTCAACCCAAGGCTCCATATATCCCCTGCATATGCATGCACTTTGGGCAGTCCCTGTTTCAAGAAGAGGCCCTGGATCCTCTCAGGGCTCATGTATTCCGGCGTTCCGGGGGAGAGTTGGCAGCATGTTTCCATGTTGAGGAGGATTTGGGAAGTTCCGAAATCAGCTATCTTTACCCGGCCTTGAGAGTTGAGGAGGAGATTGGCAGGCTTGATATCAAGATGAACAATTCCGCGAGTGTGGAGGTAGGCTCTGTTTGGCAACGCTAAGCTAGGAGCTTATAGCTTATTTTAAGCTACTAACAAGCTATAAGCTCTGTTTGGTAATGTTTCCAAAATAAGCTCCTAGCTTAAAATAAGAGCTTATTTTGAAACGCTACTTTAGGTAGCTTTTCAAAATAAGCTACTAGCTTCCTAACTTTTTTTCCATCTTTACCCTTATTATTTTAAAGTAATGACATATTTTAACCTTATGAATTAAAACCCTTTCTCTTCCCCTATCCCAACTTTCACGTCAATCCCTTCCTTAGTCTTGTTTCTTGCTAAACAATTATGTTGAATTAAAACCCCTCCTCCTCCTCCCCCTCCCCCTCCTCCTTCTTATTCTTCTTCTCCTCCTCCTCCTCATCATCATCATCATTATTATTATTATTCTTATTCTTATTCTTCTTATTGTTATTATTGCTGTTGTTGTTATTATTATTATTCCTCATCATTATTATTATTATTATTATTATTCTTATTCTTATTCTTATTCTTATTCTTCTTATTGTTATTATTGTTGTTGTTGTTATTATTATTATTATTATTATTATTATTATTATTGAGAGATCGTTTGAAGTATTGAATAAGAGATGGAAGATACTTGCTAAAATGCCGCAGTTTAATGAGGAGCCCAAATTGATGTTATTATGACCACATTTGCACTACATAATTATATTCAGAAGAATTCACAAGATGACATGATGTTTAATGTGCTTGAGCAGCATCCAGATTACATACCGTCCGATGAACTTCAAGATTCAAGTAGTAATATCTCCATCAACGAAAATTTAAGTCACACCTCTATGGAGATGAAGGAGATTCGCAACAATATTGCTACTTCATTATGCGATGCTAGATCATGATCATGCTAATAGTTTTATTTTAAAAAGTGTTTACTTTTTTTGGAAGACGAAATGTTAATTTTAATATGTAAACAAACTAATTTAAATTTTATGAAGATGTCCTTTTTAGTCTTTTTACATTTATCAGCTTATCAAAAAGCTAAATTTACCAAACATTTTCAATCATAACAGCTAGCTTAACAGCTCTTCAATTTTCAGCTCCGAGCTTATAGCTTTTCAGCTTTAAGCTCATTTTCAGCTATCAGCTCCTAGCTTATAGCTTTTCAGCTAGGTTTGCCAAACAGAGCCGTAGTTAAGAGCTGAAAGAATCTGTTTGGCCACGGCAGAGAGATAGGGTTCGTTTGAGAAGTGTTTTAGTTCAAGAGAGCCGAGGTCCATATACTCGAGGAGCAGTTGGGTACGGGTATGGGTACCTCCATTATCAACCTCCTCCTCGTCATCATCATCTATCCTGTTGTAGCCAAAGAATTTGATGATGTTGGGGTGGTCAAGGTTTGAGAGTAGGTGGATCTCGCGGCTGAAATGTTGGCAGACCACGTCATCTCCTATCATGTCAGTGGACTGCAACTTCAAAGCATAGTTGTTGCCACTCGGCGGGTGGAAGGCCTTGTACACTTCGCAAATGCCCCCAGTGCCAATGAAGTCGTGGTAGGCCCACTCCACTTCCGAGATGTTGATAGGATGATTAGGAGGAGGAAGAGTCGCCGCCGCCGCCACAGATTCCTCGTCTGAGGTTACCGCTGTTGGGATTAATGAAGAATCCATAGAAATTCCTGTCTGAACCAATTACCTATTTACCTGTGAGAGAGTACGTGTTCGTGTTTGTGTCTTTGAAAAAAGATAAGTACGTGTTCGGTGTTCGTGTTTGTTTGTGTTTGTGTTGTTGAAAAAAGATAAGAATTAGAGAGAGGATCGGAAGAGAGAGGGGCCATATATATATATAGAATTCTTCTCCCGCTCATATTGATAATTCTATTAGAAGTAGGAAAGCTTATCCAAATCAGAAACAACATGGAATCCAGGTTTTAGAACCCCCAAATTGGGTGTTCCCATGATCTCTTCATCATCAATCCCCTAATCTCTTTACCTTACCAATTCAAGCAAAGCAGCTGAAAAAGAGACCGAGCAACGACTTACCGGTTGGATATGGGGTTGGGGACGGACGGAACTGCATGGTCACTGGCTTCGAACTCCGGCGAGGGTTAGGGTGCAATTTCATTGTAGCAGACGAGGATGACGACGACGACGACGGTGACAGTGAGGCTTTCATGTAAGAAGAAGAAGAAGAGAGAAGGAGGATTATGGAGATGAAGAAGAGGGCGAGGAAGAAGAAGACAGAACGACGAGGATTCAATGTTTCCATGCAATTATGCAAATAAGGAAGAAGAATGAGACTCCCCCTCTTTTCGCGACAGAGCCTCCATCACCGATCAGCGAAAAAGACTAAGAGGACGAAGAAGGCCGGTATTGTTGGAAAATATGGTACTCGCTATGGTGCTAGTCTCCATAAATAGATTAAAAAGATGGAGGTCAGCCAACATAGCAAGTACTTCTGCAAGTTTTGTGGGAAGTATGCAGTGAAGAGAAATGTCGTAGGAATATGGGGCTGCAAGGATTGTGGCAAGGTCAAAGCGGGCGGGGCATATACCTTGAACACTGCTAGTGCCGTGACAGTGAGAAGCATAATCAGAAAGCAAACTGAGAGTTAAGCCATCACAAGTTTCTGTCTGGATTTTGAGATTAGACTAATCACTTATGTAGTCATTTTTTCATTTTGCTTGCATTTTTGGGGTTATTTTCAAACAACTATGACAAATCTTCTGCTTCAATGGATTTTAAACAATTATGATAAAAATAATAAATAAATAAAGGAAGAAGAATGACAAGAATAAAACCAGCCCCACAAAAACACAAAGGAAGACAATATCCATGAACCTGCACTTAAGACAACCAATCTAATCTGCTGCGTGCGGTGTCTTTGGATTTTGTGCTGGCTGGAGGGCGGTTTTCGAGAGAGAGACGTGGGTTTTGTGCTCCGGCCTTCTGCTCGCCGGCTTAGACGGCAAGAATGCTGCCTAGCTCATTAGCTTCCCGTCGCTAGATCGGCTGCTTAGCTCGCCAGCTTAGATGATTAGAGACTCAGAGTGCCGAGGATGACAATAAAATAAGGAAAAAAGAATTATATATATCAAATGACATTTTTATCCCTGCTTTTGACGGTTTAGACGGCAGAAACTAACGGGAGGTGTCAGCCGATCAATTTTCGTAACTCGGAAGATCACGAATGATAATTACGAAAGTTAGGGACTATAGGTGGTGAAACCACCAAACTCGATGGACCTTGGCTGGTATTTACTATAAAACCAATATATGCTTATTGACCAAAAGAAAAATAAATAAAAAAAATTAACTGGATTATTAATGGAAAGTTTTGCAATTGATTTATAAAAATATGCTGCCAAACACAAAGACATCATATTCCAAATGTATATAGTGTTGGTTTTAGGGTTTTTAGACCCAGGGAGGTCCAACACAACCGTGGTTGGTGGATTCAACTTTCAAACAAACTATGGGACTTGCAAGGAAAACTAGCTATCTTGCTGAGCCAACCTCTTGCTCGTGCCGACCGTCTGCTCGCGCCGGCCTCCTGGACTCGTTTATAGCTACCTCTGGACTTTCTTTTCCCTTCATTGCCTCATTGGGGCCAATCTTTTATGGGTCCAATCTTCATCCCTTCCTATCTTCTTTCTTCTTCGGACCCTAGACCCATTGAGTCCGTACCCCATCAACTAGTCCTTCACTTTTCGGTACCGGGCCCTTCTTGTCCGAGTACTGGAAAGTACCAATCTCCCTATTGGTAAACAAGATCATGATATAGGTTTCTAGTCAATTAGTACCAAGATATGTTAATGATATTGCTGTAGGGTCAAGCTCTGTGGAATGGCATGTTTGCTAGTTGCCTAACTAAACTAAAAATGGACAATAAGAAATGGTATGAAAGATATCAATACATCTAACAAAGGAAGCATTCATGACATCTTAGGTAAATATGGCATAGTGCAAAGTCAAATCGCATAATTTTTACACTAAAACTTTACATGCACCCTTAATATAATGTGGCAAAAACATGAACCCAATGAAGTTAGCTTTTTTTGCCATGCCACTGCTTCAAATGCATGCCCTGGGTAAACTGTAAGATGGTCCAAGAATATATTCATGATGCAACAGTTTGCATTCATTCACATGAGAAGAGATCCTAATGCTGATGACTTGATGATTTACATGGATGCATCCCCATCCAGCTACTGGCAGGTCATAGGTGGTGGAGCTCCATTTGCAGCAGGGGAAATGTGATTGAAATCCTTCCTTTTTCCAAGTGGATTCTTTGAATGTGTAACTTATGTTAAGGAAAACCATGGACGTCCATGTAAAAACATCTGCATAAAGGACATGTATAATTGACATAAAGCTACATCTTCAACCACTGGTGACAAGCCTTATCTACATTCTACAGCATGCATTTTGAGATGCATACCTATAATGTATCCATTCCCCTTTTCAAGTGTCAGTGGCGTAGTGCAATTGCGTAAATTCATATTTTCTAATTTTGAATTAACGACTCCCTACACCTTCACGTGCATGTTTCTCGGAGGAAGTTTGAGATTGGCGGAAGGTGACGGAAACACAGGCGAGGAGTTCCGACTAGCGAATCGGCGACAGGAGTGGTGTTCGTAAGTCCGGTGGTTACACCTCCATTGTTCAGACCCCATCTCAGTGCACGTTCCGCCTCCATGTGTTTTGCAGCGACCGGCCGTATCAGTAGGCATATTTGCGATGAGCGACACGGTGACTCCGGCAATGTCAGGTTAGCATTTCTGTGTCCGCATCTTCCTTTCCGGTCGGTTTATGTACCATGTTTTTAGTCTTTTACGCAGCAATACACGCATCCACCATGGGCTCCCCGTTAGCTAGTTAGAAGACAATGCACTATTAGCGAAGAGGTGGTTGCATTGCTAGGTTCGCCTTGTAGACAAACACATAGCTTAAGGGTGTTTAATGCGTACTATATTCCGCTAATTTCCCCTGGTTTTTTTTCCTGACAAGATATCCCCTGCACTTTTGGATGGTACTGGATTTTGCAGTACATAATTTACTGCATACGCGACTGCCACCACCCCCAATTCGTGCTCCGTTGGCTTTGAAATTTAATCAGTTTAGCCTACGCTTGTAGTACATGTTATCTGCAGCAACTTTGGATCCTCTGTAGTTGTTGGCAGTGAGCTGAAATCTGTACCATCCACAGATTCGTATATATGTTTTGGTTACTAGTGCAATTTAGGAATTGATTACTAGATAATATATCCATGGGTGTTCATTATAATAGATGGACTGTTGATGTTGATGTGTGGAATATACACATGTTAGCAGAACTAGTATTGTAGGATCCTAACCAAGCTACAGGTGGTGCAGGATTAACTAGTGTTATTCAAAGAATGCCTACCAGAGTGTTATATTGGATTAGAATATATTTATTTTGCTTATTCCGTCTTGAATGCTACTGGTTGATAGGAAAAAAAAATTAGGTGCCACCAAACTTCTTTAAATCCATTCCATTTGCATTTAATGAGTGCATTTTGCATTATAGAAATTGTATTAATTAAACCAATCTTAAAGCTTTACTTTGTTCAAATGCACAAATTACAGACGGCGGCTTACCAAAAAAAAAAATTAAAATTCAAATGATTATATATATTCAAAAACTTGTGAAAGATGAGAGAAAAGGATGGAGTGCCCTAAAAGCTTGGATCTAGCTAGTGGTGCACTTAAGTAGTTTGGGGTGCACTAGGAATGCACAGTAGGAGTGTTAAGGTGCGTCGTTGGTAATTGAACAGACTCCACTAGCTAGCTAGATTGTTGTGTGTTTTCCTTGTTATAGTTAAAATTTTAAATTCATTAAAGGGAGATGGTCAACGATTTGGTCGAATCTGTGAAGCAGGCTTTAAATTGGATTAGATTATATTTATTTTGCTTCAAGTTGTAGTGTTTTTAGTTTGGATACTCACCATGCATGTCAGTTCTTGATTATATTGGATTAGATTATAGTCCCACCACCATCTTGAATGACATATTAACTTTGCACTGATATTATTATAAGTTGGTTGTTGGTGATAGACCCTGGTAGGTTTTCTTTACTGTTTTTTTCACCTGATTCGTAATATGTTTATGTTTTCGTCCACAGGTGCCCATGCGAGCGAGGTGGGTAGTGAATACGTGTCACATGGTGTATGTGAATTACTAGCAGAGCAAACCACATATTGGTGTCCGGATGTGGGCAGTGAAATCATCGTTTTAGCACATTGGACGGAGGCATCGACTTTTACACAAACTGTGCACAGGTCTGCGGGTTTGATGTGCGACTCTACACCATGAAACGGGACCATGACGGGGAGACCGTGATGCGTTATATTAGCAAGCACATTTGTGCACACGGTGTGGTGGTAAGAGGAAGCAACGAAGAAGACGGATATCTAATAGGGTTATGTGCAGAGCGCGAATATGTTTTAGGAAGGTGAGCAGTGAGGAGTTTGAGATAACTGTGTTTGTTGAGGGACACAGTCATCGGGTGAGCAGTGAGGAGTTTGAGATAACTGTGTTTGTTGAGGGACACAATCATAGTATGTGTTCCGACGCATCGAAGTTATTCATGAGAGTTAACCGGAAGTTGGATGTGGCACAACAGGCGTTTGCAGCAAACTGTGTTAGAG